TTCCTGTTTTCATCTCCATGACCTCTATCACCACTATCGACCCCAATGTGTGCCTTTAACTTGGGTCTTCTCATTCATCCAATGCATTCCTCAAAAATCCTTGTAATTTTACTACAAATCTCAGCCAGCCTCCCACCTCCCACCTTGTCCTCTCACTCCCCTTTCTTTGCAAGTGATCACCCAATATTATGATTACAGGAAAAATTCCACTCATACAGAACATTTAACAGAGCTGACTCTCTTTCAGGCCTTTCGGTTTCTCTGCAAATTTAGAACACCTTTCTGGCATTGCAGAAATGCCTGCCCATCGGCTCAGTGGAGCTACACAGCTCCATTACACCTCCCACCACTTCCTACCTTGCAGCAGCTGTGGGTACCCCTTTGTTTAAGGCTCAGGGATACAAAGACAGACCAGCAGCTGCTGTACCATCAGCTCTGCCTTCCAAGAGAGGGGAAATCTTTTTTCCCAACACGTAAGAGTCACAAATAAGCACGATTCAGTGAACTACAAAAGGAGTAGATAGAAGTTCATGAGGAAAGCTGAGAAATTGGGATTTTTTGGCTTTAATTCCTCTTGCTATTCAGATGAAAGAAAGAAAAACAGGTAACCAAAATGCTGATTTCTGCTGCCAAAATCTACTTCGTTCAAAGCCCACCATAATCACACAACACAAAATCCTCACAAAAAGAAATCCATATCTCGCAGTTCAGCCAAGAACTTGGCAATCTGAGGACACACAACTCCCCATTTCCCTATTTCAACAACCCAACAAAAATGACGGTTATGAAATCCACATTGTGTTTATGCCAGAAAATAAGATCTGTTTACTACTTGGGAACGCAGGACAAGAAAACTACGAGACAACATGCAGATGGATTGGTAAATCACAAGATGATATCAACAGCACGGTTTTTATAAGAAGTGCAATTACTGCAGACCACACCTCTGCAGTGCACCCCACACAGCAAAACAAAAAACAAAAAAACACAAAAAACAAAGAGCACAAGCCACCAAAAGCACCAGGCACGGAGCCTGCTGGAAAAAAAAAAAAAAAGGTTGTTCCTGCATCTAAATCTGTCTTCGGAATTTATCATTTCTTCCCAGGCATGCGTAGCACCGAAGACACCAAAATCTTAATTTTCACACAACCACTATTAAATATTTACTTTGGCAAAACAGATGCATCTTTGAAATGAGCACAGCTCAGCAACCTTTCTGAAAACCTTCCTGAGGCTCAAGGTTGTCACGGTGCAACTTACCAGTTACTTAAATAGAGCTTAAAAGCTTATGACTATATCAAGCACTTGACTTAAGCAAGGTAATAGGCTCAGTAACACTGTCCTGATTCACATTATGCTCCGAACATAGCATACCTTACCCACCAGTGCTCATAACACAGCAACTCAATTCAAATTAGGATTAATTTATGAAGTGAGCACAGGTGTATTTGTCAGAGTTGTTCCCACAAGTAGCATATAAAAATGAAGAGATAAATTCTGGAAGCGTTTTCCAACCTGCTAGCACCATTGCCAAGAACTTCCCAAAGCACTCAGTCACTGTATGTGAAAACGTGCTTTAGAAACAAGTCAATCTGAAATGTCAGTCCAGCACCAAAGGGAGTGTTTTTGGCTTACATCTACATAAAGCAATGGGGTCAGATTGCCAAAGAGGAGAGATGAGATCTAGAAATGACCTGGCAAGCTTCTAAAAAGCAAACTGATGCCACGGCTCCCACACCTCACACTCATGTTCCGTGCAACTTTAACGAGCAGGATCCAGAAGGTTTTAAACAAGTACCTAATGCCAGCACTAACACTCTTACCTTAAATACAACGTCTGGCGTGCTCCTTAAGCTCTCATTAGAAGGTGAGAAGGTTCTGAGGCTACTTAATAATAAACAAGCCCACAAAGTCATTTTCATTTACCCTATCATGTCATACCGCCGAGTAAGATTGACATCAGCTGGCATAATTACACGTAACAGAAGTCTAAGAGGAAAGCCACCCACATTAAAGAACAACTCACGCTCACTAATTCCTAAAATAAGGCTCATGCTTTGTTTACACCTTGTACATTACCACACACAGCTGGCTGACCTGCTCCCTCAGCTGCATGGATCTTCTGCCTGCCAATGCAAGAGGGAGATCTGTATTTCTACATGCATATTTTAGATTTTGGATCTTCCACTGCACGTTCCCAAAGCAGAGCTTTCCACAGGGAATGCTGCCACTCCCATATTCCAGCCCAATAGGGCCATTAATGGCTTGCAGCATCCTTTCTTACAGCACATTTTTTCACCTCACAAAAGCCTTCAGCCTGGGTGCTATAAGGAGCTGAAAATTATTCTGCTGAAGATGACAGTGCTGTAAGACCAAATTTGGAAAAATTCTTCTTTCCAGATCTCAAAAAAAAGAGAATCAACCAACTTACATTACGATGTGCTATAACCAAAACATCTCAGAATATAGTTCAGTTTGGGAAAGTTATTTTTGGGTGATGTAAATATTTGGATAAGTTTAAAGTCAGTAAATGGTTCCAGTAAATTAAATATCAGGATTACATTTCATTTGATGTAATTTACGTAACAGCCATTACGGGCCACATAATTATTGGCATAGCTTCTCACTAGTAGAAGGAACAATGGCAAAGGTCGTTTCCATTTTGGAAAGCATATTTTTTTAAATCTTTATGTATAAAGCTGCCTACCCGCCATGTACCAACTGCAGTTACGTGCGCTACTTATGCACACAAAGATGTGCAAGGTCACACTGTTTTACAGCACTGAGATGAAAGAGCTGGAAGAGAAAAACCAGGGCTCTTCTACCTCCGCCAGCACAGTACAGTTACCACAATCAATCTCATGAAGAAACCTGGTGACAATTAGATAAAGTACAGCCCGCGTGACACCTGTGGTAAACTGCAGCGTTTATAAGTAACTTATTGATTCAGCAGATTGTTTTAATCTCCGAACTGTACAGCAAAGCGTGCTCCGGCCACGTTTTCCTCTGTGAAATAGCTCATCTGAAATGAGGTTCTTCTGCCTGTGCAGATGGATACGTGACTGAGACACATAGGATGAAAATCAAAATCAGGTTAGCTTGTACTGCTCAAAGGCACGAGGCAAACACTTCCATCACATTCAGAAACAGCTTCTTTTTTAATCATAAAAAAGTGCAGCAGTTGCTTAATAGAACAAAGCTATTTAAGACAAAAAAATATATTTCCAGCACAATTAGAAGAGGCCAGGCTATGCTACGCATCCCCAAGTGAATGTGATTCAGCATAAATCTGACCATCTCAAAATTAAATCATCCTGACTTGGCAGAAAAACTTCCTTTGCTAGTTCATCAGTAAGGCTGATAGATAACACAATTTAGTGCTTCTTTTTAAGACTTAAACACTGAGATATCAGCAATGGGTGTCAAGTGTAAATAAATACTGCGCACACAGCTCTGTTACATCAACTTCCTTGTTTCTGTACTTAACGTAGTTATCAACCTGCTCCAGAAACATGACTTGCTGGCTCAGGCCCTTCATTGCTGGCTCTGCAACAGCCACAATGCCAAAAGACACTTCTGCACCTTTCTGCTGTGGGGTTATTTTCTTGTTTTTCTCTAGTATGGGTTTCCATCCAGTGACAGCAGTAGAAAAAGTGCGCACATGATATCTGCATTTTTTGTCAGCAATGATAAAGATACAGCAAAGGTAACAACAAAACCATCCCCGAGCCAACCAGAGCCCCTCAGACCAACATGAAGCAAAGCAAAAGAGGCACACGCTGTTCCCCTGAGTGCCACATGCCCCAAGGAGAGTACAGACCACTTCTAAGGCAGTGAGCCTCAGCCTACATGTGTAATAGAGGCTGGTGAGGAGATACACAGAAGCTGTGTCACTCTTGATACTTTTGGTTCCTCTGCATATTCCTCTCAGGCAGAACGGTTGATTTTTAGTGTCACGTTTTTATTTTGTTTTGTAAATGCTAAGATTTTATGAGCCTCTTCACATCAGTAACTAATAACCTGCTGGTACAAATTACCCAAGCAAGGTTACTTACAGCTCTGTTTTCTCACTAAAGGTACCAAGCGGACAGTTCTATTGTTTCCTCTTCACTGAGCAATACTTCAAAATAAATAAATTCTAAAACCAGAAGAAAAGCCCCTGTAAAAAGGCAAAGAATAGAGACATCTGGGGTGGGCAAAGTTCGGCTCCAGCTAACATGGCTCCTACAAACGAAGATAAGTATTCCTGTTGATAACGCTCAGGGGAGTTTTCCATCATCCCTTCTAATCAACTTCCAGAACACGTTTAATAGAGAACATCAGACCGGATCCCGTTCTGATCTATCGCGTGGAACAAAAGGTTCTGGCAGACACACATCTTTCCCAACACTTCTGATCCATCGCTCTGCCTCCATTTTGGAAGACAGACAAAGGGCCTAAATGTGGACGTAACATCTGAACAAACTGATGGAAAGCAAAACCGAAGTCAGAGCGCGAGGCGCCGATAAACCCAGGAAGTGCAGCGCTCAGCTGCAGCCACCGGAACAAAGGAAACAATGACAGACTCTACTTTCTTGAGGCAGTTACAGAAAGAGAGCCGGGCAGAAAGCTCAGAGAGCGGTCCCGGTGTCACAAGCGCTCCCCGCGAGGCTCTGCCTCGGGCTCCGTGCAGAAGACGGCCGCTCGCACCAAAGCCGGCGGCGATGCCGCGCGCTGCGCCCACGCCGGGACGGGATCGGCGCGCCGCGATCCGCGCTGCCCCCGGTGTCCCCGCACGCCTCGAAGCGCGGCGGGCGCGGGCCGGGGCGCAGCTTTCCCTCAGCGCCGTGGCCTAAGCGCAGCGCAGGAGCCCCAACTTCTCGTGCGGCAGAAGCGGCTCCCGCACGGCGTCGCGCGGCCCCGCCCGCCCCCGGCGCTGCCCCGGCCCCGCGCCCTCGGGCCCCGCGCCCCTCCCCGCCCCCCTCGGGGCTTTCCCCGCGCCGCCGACTCGCGGCCGGTACCTGTAGGCCAGGGACATGCATTCGAAGAGCTTCGTGAGGGACGCGTCGATGCTCAGCCGCCCCCCGGCGCCGCCGCCCCCCCGGGCCGCCCCGAACTGGTAGGTCTGGCAGGTCTGCTCGTTGACCGTGTCGAAGTCGTAGCCCTTCTTGGGAGGGTGCTCGCTGTGAGGCGACGACACCATGAAGTGGCCCGAATGGATGATCTGGGGGCCCGGCGGCTGCCCCCGCCGCGGCCCGCACCGCCGCCCTCCTCCGGGCGAAGCGCCGCCGTCGTCGGTGTCCGACGAGTCCTCGTCGGGCTCCGTGCGGGGGGACAGCGGCCCCGCCGCGCCCAGGAGCTGCGCCGGCCGCATGAACACGTCGGCGGCCATGGCCCCGCTGCCGCCGCCGCCAGCCCCCGGCCCGCTCTGCGCCGCCACCGCCCCGCTCCGCCCCGGACCGGCCCTCAGCGCCCCGCCCCGCCGGCAGGAGCCGGAGCCGCAGCCCCGCCCTCGCGGCCCGCCCCTCTTCGTTCCCGCCTCGGCGCCGCGGCCCTCAGCGGCCCCGCCCGACGGCGCCGTCCCGCAGCTGCGGGGCGCTTCCCGCCAAGCGCCCCCGGTCGGGGCTTCCCTCAGGAGAAGGTCGTCCCGCCGCCCCTGAGCGCAGCCCCCGGCAGCCCTGCTGCCGTTCACAACGCGAGGGCGGGGCCACCTCGCGTCCCCTCACGCACCCACGGCGGCCCTCTCCTTTCCCCTCGCACCACCGCGGGCACAAAATATCGTGGCCGAGGAAGGCGAGGACGCCACAGCCCCGGTGCCACGCTGCTGCTCCGCCCCGCTCCCCCCGGTTTAATTCCCACGGGACGAGGTCACGAGGAGGCACGTGGGCAGCAGTGCAGAACCACCTCTGGATGTGGGGCTGCGGTCGTGCTGACCAGAACCGGGAATTAACTGCAGGTCTTTGCTAACGTTCTTCCTCGGAATAACGGCCCTAAGCTCAGCTAAGTGCAACAGTTCCCCCACACGAAGGAAAAGGAAGGTGTCGTTGCCATGGGAGGGCTCCAGCCGTGAGAAGTCTTTAAAATCAAGACTGACGTTGAGCTCTCTGTCAACATCACAAATGGCAGTTCTTAAGAAAAGGCTGCAATCGTAATGCAGCTCTGGAGATGGACATTCTGCTTTACTTCATTAAGATGAGCTCTTGGAGCACCTCCAGGCCCAAGGCTGCTGTCTCTCCTCTCCTCCCCAGTGGGGAACAGGGAGGCACAGGGAACACCACGGTCCCAGCAGCATCTCAGCAATGCCTTTTCTGGCTGTTGTTTTAGCAGTCTGTGATGCAAGACAAAATGATGTAGGCCACCATCTTCTGCTGATGTTCCTTCCAAAAAGCAGGCTTTCAGCACAGGATTAGAGACATTTACTTATAATTCAACTATAATACACACAAGAGACACATTCTTGGTGCTTAAAAATACACCTGCAGCATACACACCACAGCTCTCAGTGGTAAGAGATTATCTTCCTAAATCTCACAGCCTGAGAGATAAGCCTTCCCATTCTGATGAGGCAGAGAGATCAGGGAGACATACTCACAGCCCCAAGACCATGGGGTGGCTGCAGGGCTGGGAGTCCAGCCATCGCTCCCACTCTGCTGCCCATCCTGCTTCAGGCAAACCACAGCCAACCTGCAGCTCTGCACCCCGCTTTCCAGGCTGTGCTGTTGCTCACCCCTTTACCAGCACAAGCCTTACCTGTTCAGAGGTTTTCATTCCTGAGACCTGTCTTGAGCGAGGCTGCAATCCTCTTTTCCTCTCTCTGCAGTTTTGATGCCCTACTCCATAAAATGAAGAAAGAAAAAAAAAAAGCAACACTAAAATTAGGTAGTTGTTTTTCAGACAGGATGGCAGATTGTGGTGGTTCAATGAAAGGATCCCACAAGCACCCAGTAAATGCAAGGGAGGCACCAAAATGGACCAGCCAGGAGCAGCAGATCACCCCCCCCACAGCTGTCTGGGCAGCTGCAGGCTACTTTGGGACACAGTACATAGAAATGCTGAGAATAAACAGGACACTTCCCATCCACCCTGAATGTAAAGAATCCTTCCAAAACTCCTAGGAATTTTTATCCTTGCCAGCATCACTCTTGCATGCTTCCCAGCTGAAGCGCGTTTTCACACTGTGCCCTCTGCTCCAATTTAAGTTTCCACAAGACGTTAGCCGAGTACTAAGCCAACAGCAGGCACATTAAACCTTACATTACCAAGTTTTTCTGCAGGCTGCTGTAATTTCATTGCCCATATTTGTTTGTTGCTGCTACATTACCCACGCCCAGTCAGTGCCCTGCTAACACACCGCGGCAACCTTTGGTCAAACCAAATGAATCGTTTTACACACTACCAAATAAGACAACACCATAGAATGCATATTTCAAAAGACTACAAAAATGGGAATTTATTTTTAATTTTAAAAACAAGCTGAGATTAAGTTTCTCGATAAAAATTAGTCACAAAGCATTCGTGTTGTGATTTTTATTTTATTTTTGAAATGAAACCATTGTACATTGTACAAACCATAACTACCGATGGAATAAATAAGTGAAAAATTATACTGCTGTACAACACACACACACACACAAATCATAAGATGGAAAACGATTAGGTATTGAAGAAAACAAAATTCTTTACACCTTCTAACAGGCCCTTAGATATAAAGAACATTCCAAAACATGACAATGTTTATGTATGAAGATAGCCACCCAAAACCATATTTTATACTGCCTTGTCAATTTTTTTTGTTGTTTTGTAAGTGCCAGCACTTTTTTTTTTTTTTGGAATGTTTAACAACTACTTTCCCAAGCATAAAAATTCCAAGGAATAGTTCTGCTATAAAATGTTTGGCTGAGTAAATCACTTATTTGGAAGGCCTTCCCACATGTTCCACAAACTCAGCTAATTTACTTACTTGCTTCTAGTTTCTTTTTTTTTTTTTTTTAATTTTTTTTTTTCCTTTTTATGTTTTGTAACTGAAGCTCCAACATTCAGCACTGTAGCAAGGAAGCACTTCTTGAAATCTGCACTATTTCTAAAACGTTAGCTGTATGAGAACTTTCAGTCATCTTGAAGAAAATTACATCTCTCCTTCTGCTCCACGTCTCAATGCTTTCAATAAAACCTTTTACAGTGAAAACAAGTTTCTGGTAGAGATAGGTCCAAGACAAAAAAAAAACAACAAACAAAATCAAAACCAATTGGATTTAGATGTGGTTTCAAACCTCAGGCTGGTTTGAATTCGATGTTCTGGTTTGGTCCCATCTGTACTTTCTGGCATTAAAATGTGTTTAATCACATCCGTTGGCCCATAAATGTTATCAGGCACTTCACTAAGACTAATAACAGTCTTATACACTATTTTGGATTTCTTCATACCAGGTAATGCCAGTCTCTTCTCTTAGAGAATGACAATAACTGATCTAAGGAACCCAAATCTATCTGCTTGTTCAGCTGTCTGTTGTCACTAGAATCTCTGGTTAAAAATAAAAGTTCTGAATGTATCCCATATAAGCTGTAAATGAAACATTACTATTTTAGAAATAAAGGCTCTAAGAGTATAATTATGATGCCTTGTCTTGTAAGCCACAGAACAATGAACAGTTCCGAGCAGAAGCCACAGGAGAGAAAAGGAAGCTTATAATTAAACCTATTGATGTCAATAATGCCAATAAATGCTTCTATCTAATGAAAAATTTGAGGTATTTTTAGTGCTATTTATATATTTTATTTCTTCCTAAAGTACAGGAATTAGTTTCTAAACGAAAAATCTATTTATTCCCTTGGAAACTTCTACAAAATTAGAATTAAAAACTTGCTGTGATGCACCTGGAGATAGGGATTAGTAAAAATGACTGCTTGTCAAAGGTGGCATCAGATTTGTTTTGCTTTAGCATTAAAAATAAAAAGAAACAGTAAAGCAAAAATATTTTAAAGTTTGAATCTTTCTAAATTTGACCATTTCATATATCAATAGAACTTCTCACAAAATATCACAAATCTGAATGTAATATACATACAAATCAATCATCATTGACCAGTTATCCACAGTTTAGGCATACACACAATTCAAGAGAGAATTCTACCATTTCATTGCATAATGTTGTGCAAACATAATTTTTGGCTCCTCATTTCCTTATTTTCAGAACGTTAATGGGCTTCGTGATCAGACCAGAAATCCCAAAAACTTATTAGGGAGCACACTTCTTTCACAAATGGTTTTGCAATCAAATTTTATTCAGTTAAAATCCAAAAAGTTTATTTCAACACAAAGGAAAAGTGGTGAAATTGAGTGTCATACGTTGTTTGGAATTGAATCCTACAAACATCCTATGGAACGCCAGCACTGGCTCCCCCACCTGCCCTCCCTCCACTCCCTCCCCCAAGTTTCCCATTGTTTTTCCTAATAAAGTGGTAATTGCAGACGCAATCCAGTAGTCTAAGTGCAAGCCATTTTCACTATTGGAGAATTCAGAAATAAATAAGCTTGATGAAGAGCTAATTATGAAAATGTATCAACTGGAAGCGATTTTTTTTTTCCTTTAAAAAAGTATTTACAGTTCTTAGCTTACAAACTATATGCAACCATTTTCATAGCTGTGAGATTATAGTTTAAATTACAAGCTCCACCTCTCACATACAAAGTGAAGACAAACTAAGGGCCTGATCCAGCAATACACGTGTGCACGTGCACATGTGTGTGTGAAGAGCATTAAGTGAGAAGTGGTTCCCACTGACACTGAGCAGTTCTAACTGGGCACTCACCCTGGAAGATCAGGCCCCAAAGATGAGACCTTTGCAGATGGTTTTGCACTTCTAAACGCCACTGCTTTGAAGGGAGTTGCACATGCTTAGTGCTTTTCAATTAAGTTCAGCATAAGCACACTTTGACATAATTGTAAAAGAAGGAACATTTCTATCAGTGATGCAGAGACGACAGAAACAACAAGGCTTATTTACAAGACTTGCTGAAAGGAAAAAAAAATCCCAAATACAGTATTAACCTGGAACACAGAAGTAAACATCTTATACAGAAACAGTACAGTGAAATCCAGTTCAGTGAAAATCTCATATCAAAAAAGTCCAATTGAAAATAAATTCATTGTGCATCAATCCTTTTGATCCTATTTATATACATAGTGGAACTCTTCTGTAAAGCAAGTTGTACCCAGTACAGAGATCTGGACCTAATACCTAAGTATTTTAACTGTTGTGTTACACTATATATTCAGATCTGGACTATAAATGGTAAACAGATCATGTTAACTTCTGATGAAGTTAAGTATTTAGAAGACCAAATTTACAGTTGCGAATGCCATGCATTCAATAAAAGATCTCCACTATAGCTGCTAAAATAATATATCAAGCTCTTTTCTCTCCTTGGA